CACCTTCTGTACGAGAATATAGAAAGGAATGTCTCTAATGGGTTCAAACGGTGGTCTCTGAAGTGCAAAGAGAGCCAGATTTCGATCACGCAAAGAATAGGAATAAACAGGTGGAGCTACATGAGCGACAAGCTCTTTATCAAGGAGTGAAAGGCCAATGGTCTGTGAAACAAAACTGAAAGGGCAGAAACCTAACTCTTGAAAATGCTGAAGGACAAATGCTGGCCCAGACCAAGCTGAAAGGAGTAGATGATTCGTCCCATGGAGAAACTACTAGTGTGTAAGCTCCGAGACCCAAACCAAGTGCAGTATGCCTTTGCCATTTTGCTATTAGCATTGTAAGAAACAGATTTAGAGATGCCCCTGTCTCTCAAAACCTGGGCTTCAACAGCCATGCTGTTAAAGAAATAGCTACCATGAAGCAGGATGGTAAATTGGTCCTTTTGACAGAAGATACTCTGTGTGCTCTGCAAGATTGTATCAACCAGGATCCTGGGTCCTGCAAAAAAGAGGAAGAAGCTTCAGGGGAGGATAGACATAAAATCAAGGTGTACTGATCCCAAGGATCCAACTGAGCATCCACTGTTCCCTGTACCTGGAGACAAGCCTTTCCAATTTGTTGGTGATCCTGAAGTGGAAGGGGGTCCACATCTGGCATTCCCCACTAGCGACACAGGGCTGGAATACCGCCAAGTGTAGGGATCACTCCCCCAGGTTCACTGCGGAAGTCTGGCTGTCAATTGCCTGGAATATGCACAAAGGACAAGGCCAGAACATGACAATCTGCCCAGGACAGGATCTGATCTGTGAATACTTCTGGTACCTCCCTGATGGTTGATGTATGCTACCACTGTGGCAGTGTCTGACTGGATCCGATAACCTTACAGCAGAATGGTCCAAAGCTGCAGAGACATTTAAATTGCCCAAAGCTCCAGAACGTCAGGAGGAGAGACTCCTCCTTTGAACAGGTCCCCTACACTGACAGGGTGTCCAGGACTTCTCCCCAGCTGAACGTGCTGACATGCATTGTGAAAATCCTCCAAAAGACGGGAAGGAAAATGTTCCCAATTCCAGAGAAAGATTTCTAAGCCAAACGACAGCCTGGATCCTTACTACCAAACAAATAGGTCTGTTGAGGGACCTGATTGACTTGTCCCATGATGACAGAACGCTGCCTGGAGTGAAACTGGACAAATGGAACTGTCTTGAAGGAGGCTACTATCAGGTCTAAGACTCTCATGCAAAAGAGTTAGATGAATCCTGGACCAGGGAGCTTGATTCTGAGAACGGAGAGTATGAAGATTCTCTTTTGCAAGAAATAGTTTGGCCTGAGTTGTGTCCAGAACTAGACCCAGATACTCCAAAAGAGTGTCTGCACTCCTGCAGGCAGACTGGGAACCAGGCTTGGAAAGTCTCTACAAGATAGTTGAGAAAGTGAAGAAATGCCAGCAGTAGCATCCTTGATGATGGTTAAAGGAGTCTGTCCAAAAAAACATTTCTTAAAGAACATGCGGATCAAACGCCTCTAACACAAGGGCTACACAGCCCAGCACTTCAACCAAAGTGCCCTATGCATATGTACCGACATGAGACCCATGCAAGAGATGAGATGGGAATCTTAGACTGATTAGACTGTCACAACTGACATTGAAATGTACAGCCAGACTCCACATGTTCAACAATAAAGTACATTGCAGTAGTGAACTTTGTGGAATTCTGGCCAGTCAGGTTTGACAAAGTAAAGTCACGGCCAGCATGGAGTAAATGGCAGGGCCTGCCAGCAAGAACAAAGCACTAGAAAGCGCCCTCAGCCACTTTGGTTGGGTTCTTAAAAAGTACCTTACATCATTTGGGGGAGAGTAAGCTTTTATAGGGAGGCACCAAGCCAGTGCTCATGGCCATCATGCTGTGCTACCTAGGAGGAGGTGGGCTCTCTCTACTAAGGTCTAACGCTACGCCACTATGGAATGATAGCAATGAGAGCTGTATGGGGATCGTCTATTTATGGCAGTATGTGCAGGGTGATGCCTTTCCAACACTGTCAAGGGAGTGTTGATGGGGGCATGTATAGATTTGTTATGTTTTTTTTTAAATTATGTGTACATTAGTACAGCCAGGTTTTATGGCTGATGAATATTATATATATATATATATATATACCTATTTACCAACAGGTTTGGATGCCATACTTTATCATCTCCTGAGACAGTACATCTCCTTTGAGTGTGTAACAAACAAGCATTAATCTTAAAGGTATGAGCCATAACCCATATATAATGGCTTTGATATTATTATGGAAAATGCTGGACTATTGGGCAAATATTATAGGTTTAAGTTGGCAAACCTAGTTATGCTGGACTATATCTTATGTCTTATGGCATAATCATGCAGTCTCCTTTTTTTCACCTGTAAGGATGGCAGGGTGACTTCAAATGTAATACACATGCAACGTGTTCATGGCATCATTTCCATTCTATGAATAGAAGTGATATTAAATGGATATAATGATACTAATAGTGGCCAATAACATATTTAATCATTAGAGATTTTTACTGAGCACCTGGCGGATTCCTTTGTTGGCCCTGTGGTCGCCCATCCGGGGATGTTTTAACAGACAAGTTGTGAATGAATTGATGTAGGCCCACCACATGTAATCATCACGAGTAAGCAATCTTTAATAATACAACAATTTGTAACTATATATGTATAGGATCATGATGATGATGGATATAATTATTGTGATCACCTTGTATAGAATGTTGTAATAAGATGCATCTTGTATTTGATCCTGGATGCTTCTGATGAAGTGGTGTATTCCGCGAAACGCATAAAGCATATCCCGTCTGACAATATTTGTGGTATTTAGTTTATGCGTTAATAATACAAGAAATATTTGGATATTTGTTAAAACACTCATATGGGATAAGGGTGATACATGTTGATGTGCATAGGATGAACAATGGACATTGCGATATACATGTTTTTTAATGCCTATTGATTTTATGGGAGGATATTGGTTTGAAAAAATGAAGATCCGTTTTTTTAAAATATAAAAAGGCATCTTGTGTGAGATGGTGCCTTAAAAGCCCGGCATTAGTTTTTGGGGATATGGTTATTAATGATTTTTGTGGATGTGGTACCCCTCAACATCCCCTGATTGGTATACAATAGACTAAATCACCTGTGCTCTGAACAGTGTATATATTTTACATTGTAACTGTCCTGTGTGCTATTTCAGTGGTTCTCAAAGTTTCATAGTCCAGGGACCTCTTAAGCAAGCCACACAGTCAACTAATGTCCCTCCTTCCCCTAATCTGTGCTGCTGTACAGGGGGATTACAAGAGGCTGAAGTCAAGTCAAATACAGGTATTTATACTAGTTACATTTTAAATGCAGGTAATGTAATGATTTCTAATAAACACAACTGCATTCATTGATGTATTTATTAATATTAGCTCAACTTCAATATTTTGATGTTTACGGGGCAAGATCTCTATAAAGCAGACCATTACCTAGGGTTGCATGGCCCAAACCCAAATGCCCACACACCATGCTTTTGACTGTAACACATTCTCACTTATTGAATGTTCTAGCATGCCTCCCTACCCATGCATACCATCTGGTTGGTCTTCTTTGAAGTTACTGCTGCATTCTCTGTCCAGTTTTTTTGGTAGCATTGTGCACTGTATACTTAAGTCTGTACACCTGGAACCTACTTTTGAATCTCTCTATGAGCTTATTTGTTTCTGGTTGTATCAGTAGAGTTTGATTCTGTCTCTGCAAAACTTTTTGGTTTTATGAACGTGGTACTGATTCACTGATTCCATCTTTGCATCATTATGGTAATGTGAACCTGGATTTGACCTGATAGTAATTAGTCAAATTCAAATGCACTTGTTCTGATATGTTGAAGATGTTTGACCTCTAATTCAAGTGGCCTTACTCAGTTGTATAGAGTGCCAGGAACATACCTCAACCTTTATACTAACATGGGAACAAATTAATTTTAATCCAGTCACCATGGTTTCATGAAATGCGTCAAGGCAGATGTTGATTGTCCAAGAACACAACAGAATATGTAGAAGTTTTGAAAACTTTTGTTTTATTTCATTACTATAGGTCATGAACAGGTGTTCACTGTTTGAGTTACATAACTGAAGGCGTGAATTTCTGGAAGATTGCCAGAATAAATAATTTACAACGGTATTATATGTTGCTTACAGGAGGTACCAAAGCCCAAAGATGGTTGTTCCAATTTGAAGAAGATGATCTCTTTCACACCTCTTATGAAACAGTTGCCCGCTCTGTCCAAAATGACGCATTTTATGGCACTACAGTGATTAGCTTAAAGTAATTCAGCCTGCTGACCACAGTTGGAAGATCCGCTTCTTTCTTTCATTTTCAAATCTTAACCTGAAGAAACTGAAAAGAAAAGCTGATTGGTTGCCCTGGGCTACTGCTTCAGATTTTGTCTGCTCCAGTTTTGATAAATTCCCCCTTTGTGTTCACCAATATTTTCTCCTTAATGATAATTTGGCACCACCTCCCCTCTCTTCAGTCAAACTAGCATTATAATAACCTAGTCTCTAACAGCACAATTTTCTCACCTAAGCTCTCAGCTCTGCATGCCCCATAATGTACATTACTAAACAACAATGAACCCTCTTTTTTGACTGGACAGGTCAGTAGACTTTGATACTCAGGTAGCAAGTCCCTAAAACCGTTTATTAAACTCACAAGTGTCCAATTTATGTAGACTGGACCTATAAAATGTTTACTGTGAGTTTGTTTTTGTGAAACAACTGTGCTAAATATACCACACTCTCTCTTTAACGAGACCTTTTCTTTTGTTTGGGTCATAAAATGCATACAATACGGAACTACTACAGCAATAGCAAGCAGGTTTATAATTGTGATCACTTAGCCTGCAGTATTTCTAGAACTGTTACCCTACATTTCACCGGTGAACAACTGAATTGTGGACAGAGACATAAACTTACTGAGGCAGCTGTGCCCATAATGTACCAAGAAGTCAGCTCCTAGCGCCCGTGCAGTGTAATCATCCACGCAGCACGCTCCGTATGTCACATCTCCCATCACCACGGTCTCTGCTGATGTAAATCTAAAGGCAAGAAACAGGGACATGAAACCAGCAGGGAATATTCATTGCTGACTTAAGAACACATGATAAATGATGTGTATTATAAGGCCATATACACTTTCCAAACTCCCATTGCAATTTAAATAGCAAAAGCATAAACAGCATAAAACTGTAAAAAGTATGCAAGTTCATTACAATTGCCAGGCTGACATGGTGTCAACGAAAAAGAAAACAAGTATTAAAGAAGAACTCCGGAAAACAAAAAAACATAACCATTGAAGTGGGGCTACTTCCACACTGCAAGGGTTAAGTGCTTGTTTTGGTCGAGGTGCAAAAATAACAAAGTTATACTCAACCGAACCTTGCAGCCAGCTGGCCGTTAGAGCACACCCTCCAGTGATGGAGTGTCCCTCGGCATTCTCACGTACAATACTCAGTGTATTGGACTTGATGACTCACAGGACCTTAGGTGGAGTGGAGGGGGAGGGAGGCTAGAAGGACTGGTCTAACAGCCAGCCAGCTGCAAGGATCAAGTGGGTATAACTTTTTCATTTTCGCACCGAAAACGAGCACTTAACCCCTGTAGTGCGAGGTTAGCCCTACTGCAGTATGTGCTTTTTTCGTGCATTTGCCAAGGCCTGATGAAGGGGGGGGGGGGGGGGGGGCCTTTTACACCCCACAAACG